CAGCCCCTCCACACATCCCCCACATCCCAAAGCCCCCAGACCCCCCCGGGCCCCCCGAACCCCCCCATTTCTCACCGTCGCAGCCCCTCCGCACGTCCCCCACATCCCAAAGCCCCCAGACCCCCCCGGGCCCCCCGAACCCCCCCATTTCTCACCGTCGCAGCCCCTCCGCACGTCCCCGACGCGTCTCAGCGCGTCCCCGAGCAGGTCGGGCAGGCGCCCGTTGAGGTCCAGCGAGGCCAAACAGCCCCGGAAGCCCCCCCGGGAGGCCACGAGCCGCGGGAGGCGGCCCAGGAGCCCCGGGCTGACCCCCCCGACGTACAGCTCACCTGGGGGGGGGCACGGGGGGGTCACCTGGGGGGGCACTGACCGCTCTGTCCGTACCCCACAACAGCCCCGGGATGACCCCCCCGAGCTGGCGGGGGTCACCCATGGGGGTCACGCTGAAGGGAGACCCCCCCACACCTCATATGTCATTGACCCCCTCCCCGCTGATGTCCAGGGGGACACCTGGGGGACACCTGGGGGACATTGGGGGGGGTCACTCATGGGGTGAGGGGGTGCCCTGCCATGGTGACCCCCAGTGTGGGTGATTCCCCCTATGGCTGCCCCCTCCCATCCACCCCGGGACTGTCCCAACACCTGTGCCCTCTCCCAGGTGTCCCCAGGTGTGCCCCAGGTGTGTCCCAGTTATGCCCCAGGTGTGTGTGACATGTCCCAGGTGCCCCCAGGTGTGCCCCAGGTGTATCCCGGGTACCCCAGGTGTGCCCCAGGTGTGTGTGACATGTCTTAGGTGCCCCCAGGCATGCCCCAGGTGTATCCCAGCTACCCCAGGTGCCCCCAGGTGTGTCTCCAGGTGTGTCCCCAGGTGTGTGTGACATGTCCCAGGTGCCCCCAGGTGTGCCCCAGGTGTATCCCAGGTACCCCAGGTGTGCCCCAGGTGTGCCCCAGGTGTGTGTGACATGTCCCAGGTACCCCAGGTGCCCCCAGGTGTGCCCCAGGTGTGTGTGAGATGTCCCAGGTACCCCAGGTGTGTCCCCAGGTGTGTCGGGGTCTCACCCTTGAGCTGGAGCCCGCGGGCTCCCTGCCCGTGCTGGGTCACGGGTCTCCCGTCCACGCGCAGCCCGTGCAGGGCCCCCCCCTCCCTGGCCACGGCCACCTCGTGCCAGCGCCCGTCGTGCAGCGGCTGCTCCGAGTTGCCCTTCATGAGCGAGGGGCCCTCGCCCAGGTCGAACACGTAGTGGATGTACCTGCAAAGGGGGCGTGGCCTCGTGGGGCGTGGCCTGGGGGAGGGGGGGGACTCACCTGGGGAAGGGACAAAGGGACTCCCCCCACCCCCACCTCTTACAGGGCGTGTAACCGGGATGGGGGCGTGGCCACAGCTGGGTGTGGTCGTTATGGGCGTGGCCTGAGCCAGGAGGAGGAGCTTGCACCAAGGAGGAGGAGCCTAAGGCTGGGTGGGCACCATGGGCTGGGGGGTCCCTGAGGGGGTGCCAAGGTCCCCAGGGGGGGTTTCAGGGTCCCCAGGACCTCCCTGGTGTCCCCAGAAGCTTCTGGAGGTCCCCAGGTGGCTCCTGAGGTCCCCAGGACTTCCCAGGTGCTCTCTGACATCCCCAGGAGGTCCCCAAAGCCCCCAGAAGGTCCCCAAAGCCTCCAGGACCCCCCCAACACGTCCCAGGTGGTCTCCGAGCTCCCCAGCTGCTCCCCAAGATCCCCAAGGACCCCCACAGGTGTCCCCAAGATCTCTGAAGATCCCTGAGCTCCCCAGCAGTGCCCCCCAAGATCTCCGAGGTCCCCAGGACATGCCCACATCCCCCCGACGTCCCCCTCACCCCTTGACCAGCTCGACCACCAGGAAGTCGGAGCCGCTGCCGCCGTTGAAGAGGATGAGGCCGTCGGGCGCCGTGGTCTTGAACTGGAAGAAGAGGTGGAAGGAGGCGAAGGCCTGGAGCGTGGCCAGCGCCACGTAGGAGCCGCGGCCCCCGAAGGCCACCGGGTCGGCCACGATGGCGCGGCGGCCGAAGCGGGCGTTGAGCTCGCAGGAGCTGATGTCGCCGTCGCGGCACAGGTCCAGGTAGGGCAGCCCGTTGAACACCAGCCCGCTCAGGTGGCCCAGGAAGTTGGACGGGACCACGGCCAGGAAGCGCCGCTCGGTGACGATGCCGGTCTCGATGTTGTGGAACTCCAGGCGGGTGTGAGAGCCCGACAGCTGTCCTGGGGGGGCGGGGGGGACACGGGGGTGTCACCGGGAGCCCGAGGATGGCTGAGGGCCACCTCGCCATGGTCCTGCTCAGCCGGGGTCTCCTGGACCTCCAGGCCGTGTGCTGTATCCTCAGGGGCCTGGTCACCTCGTCCCTGTGCACCCGTGTCCCCAGGGCCTTCATCCCTGTCCCCAGGACCTTCATCCAGGACCTTCATCCCTGTCCCCATGGACCTTCATCCGTGTCCCCTGGACCTTCATCCCTGTCCCCTGGACCTTCATCCCTGTCCCCATGGACCTTCATCCCTGTCCCCTGGACCTTCATCCCTGTCCCCTGGACCTTCATCCCTGTCCCCTGGACCTTCATCCAGGACCTTCATCCGTGTCCCCAGGACCTTCATCCCTGTCCCCTGGACCTTCATCCCTGTCCCCAGGGCCTTCATTCAGGACCTTCATCTGTGTCCCCAGGACCTTCATCCATGTCCCATGGTCCTGGTCGCCTCATCCTCGTGCACCGATGTCCCCGGGACCTTTATCCCTGTCCCCAGGGCCTTCATCCCTGCCCCCATGGACCTACAGCCCCACTGGCCACGTCCCCACAGATCTGAGCCCCCCCGTGACCCCAAGAGCCGAAGGTCCCCCCGTCCCGTCCCCACGGTGTCACCTTCGACGGTGACGTTGTCCACGGCGAGCTGGAGGCTGCGCCCGCGCCGGGCCACCCGCACCGAGTGCCACTCGTTGTCATCCAGCCGCTGCCCCGCGAACAGCGTCTCGGGACCCTTGCCTGGGGGCAGCGGGGACAGCGGGGACACCGGTGACACCGGGGACAGCGGGGACATTGGGGACACCGGTGACACCGGGGACAGCAGGGACACTGGGGACACCGGTGACACCGGGGACAGCGGGGACATTGGGGACATGAGGGACACTGGGGACTCTGGGGACACTGGAGACTCCAGGGACACCAGGGACACCGGGGACACCTCTGCATTGGGGGATACTGGGACAGCAGGTGACACTGGGGACACCAGAGGGACACCAGGGACAATGAGACGCCGGTGATACCAGAGGACACCACCGTACTGGTGACACCAGGTGACACAGGGGGACGGCACTGTGCTGGGACACTGTGCCACCAGTACAGGTGACACCGTAGCAGCTGATGGCACTGGGTGACACTGGGAACAGTGGCACTGGGTGACATTTGGGTCTGGTGGCACTGGGTGACACTGGGACTGGTGGCACTGGGTGACATTTGGGTCTGGTGGCACTGGGTGACACTGGGACTGGTGGCACTGGGTGACACTGGGCACGGTGGCACTGGGTGACACCAGATGTTCCCAGCCAGGTGACAACACCCACAGCTGGAAACAGCCCAGGAGAGACCCCGGGGACACCGCCCAGGTGTGAACCCCTAAAGCCACCAGTGCAGCCCAAACACACCCGGGGGGGTCCCAGGCACTTGGGGGGGGGTCAGGAGGGGTTTGGGGGTCCCTGTGGAGGCTTTGGGGTGTCCCAGGGGGATCCAGAGGCTCTGGGAGTGTCCCCTGAGGATGTCCCCAGGTGCTTTTGGGTGTGTCCCAAGTGGGGGGTTGGGTGAGGTTTTGGGGGTGTTCATGGGGGGTTTTGGGGTCCGGGTGTCCCGGGGTGTCCCGGGGGGGTTGGGATGTCCCGGGGGTGTCCCGGGGTGTCCCGGGGAGGTTTTGGGACGTCCTGGGGATGTCCTGGGGGGGTCCCGGGGAGGTTTTGGGATGTCCCGGGGGTGTCCCGGGGTGTCCCGGGGAGGTTTTGGGACGTCCTGGGGATGTCCTGGGGGGGTCCCGGGGAGGTTTTGGGATGTCCCGGGGGTGTCCCGGGGGTGTCCCGGGGAGGTTTTGGGGTGTCCCGGGGGTGTCCCGGGGTGTCCCGGGGTGGGGGTGGCACTTACTGGGGTGACAGCCCACGCGGACACAGTCTGGGGAGAGAAGACACGGGTCAGGCCCTTCGCAGCCGCCGCCAGGGAACGCCCCGGGGACGGGGGGGGCGGCCGGGGGGGGCGAGGTGCCAGAGGGGGGGAACTGGGAGGGACTGGGA